TGGGGCTGGGGGACTGAAGTTGAAGGGGTTGGATGGGGACAGAACTGATGGGGGCGTGTGGGACAGGATTAATTGCTGGGCACAAGACGGGCAGATGGGGGGTGAGAGCTCCTGCAGCAGGAGCCAAAATCCCCTTCCCCAGGACATGTGGGCGAGTGGGCAACACTGATTGTCACATGCGCACGCCCTGGGGAGGGGCCAGGGGAGTTCAAACATCAAGAGACTGACCTAAAAACCACAATAGAATCCTTTTAAACATGTCATGAGTGTTGGGCCAATCTCCTGAGATTTGATCCCTTGAAGTCGGCAATACTGTATTAGCCATTGCATAGCCCTGGGGCCAGCAGTGTGGAGTTTGGAAAGTCCCTGACAGACCAGCACAAGCCGAGCAGCCATTCAGGAAGTGTGCGGTGTCCTCACCCACCCCGTGGCTACACAGAGTCAAGGAGCCCCAATGATGTCTCTATAAAAGCAGGTTTCAGAGTGGTAGCCATGTTAGTCTGTATCAGGAAAAAGAACAGGAGTACCTGTGACACCTTAGAGACTAACACATTTATTTGAGCATAAGCCCACTTCATCAGATGCATGCAGTGGAAAATACAGTAGGAATCTATCTATCTATCCATCCCCATCCACCCCCCCCATATATATCGTTTTTTCACACCCCTGAGTGAGGAAGTTGCAGCGCTGTAAAGCACCAGTGTAGCCAAGCCCTTAAACATAGACTTGCGTGTTCTATTTTATTTCACTTTCACTTCGTTCTGTCTGTCACTACTTGGAACCACTTAAATCCTACTGTCTGTATTTAATAAAATCACTTTTTACTTATTTATTAACCCAGAATATGTGTTAATACCTGGGGGAGGGGGGCAAACAGCTGCGCGTATCTCTCTATCAGTGTTATAGAGGGCGAACAATTTATGAGTTTACCCTGTATAAGCTTTATACAGGGTAAAATGGATTTATTTGGGATTTTCTCACTTACCAAGCAAGATTTTAACACTGTCCTTGAATTATATCAGGAGGCCTTTTTGTTTGAATTAACTCCCGTCTTTGTCTCTCATTCGTACCTCTTCCCTTCAACATTTCTTATTATAGTAACATCTTATGGACTTTCACATCTTACAGTTGAGTTCACATTGAGGGTAAATTGCAGGCCCAATTATCACAAGAGAACTCTGGATTTTGCATCTTTCTTCTACCTGCTCTGCTCAAGGAGGACAGGACAGGGACTCCCTTCCCCAAACCCACCTGCTTTAGAGACCCCTCACTCCCTTAAACCCACTGTTTCTGGTTTTAACGCCGCAGCCCTCCACCACCCCTAGTGGCCCAGCCTTTCAGAGACCCAGCTACTGGTGCTGTGTGTATTTAGGTCCCTTTGCTAAACAGCTGGTGTGTAGGAAGATGAGGAGGGAATGCAGGTGACAGAGCTAGCAGGGAAATGTGTGTAGGTGGCGGGGGAGAGGGGTTCAGGCAGCAGAGATGCACATACGGGGATATAGAAAGGTTCAGAACACATGGGAAGGGGATAGGACATGAAGAACAGAAGGAGACACAGTGGGATGAGATGTTCTCAAAGAAGTGATAATGCTTGTGGCAGGGGTGTCAGACTCATTCACGGCACCAGGCCGGGTTCCCTCTAGGGCTCTGATCTGTGGGCTGGGGTGTAAAATCTGGACTACGCCCTTCTCACAATGCACAGCAGGTCACCCGCTCAGGTCAATGGCAGGATGTGGCCTTCCCACAGATTTTGACAGGCTGGCTTAGGTGGCCCCTGCCCAACTGCTGGCGTTTGTGAATCAGGGCCGTCCTTAGGATTTACGGGGCCCTACGCGGCATTATTAAACTGGTGCCCCTATGCTCCATTGACGGCAATCCCCAGCTGGTGCCACTGACCCCAGTGTGTCAAGGGTGCACAGCCACTACCCCCGCGCGCAGACCCCCAGAACCCCCCCCCCCC